AAGGCGGCGAGCCTGGCCGTGGCCCCGCTCTCCCTGGGGGCCGGAGCGCCGCGCTGCCCCCCTCCAGGTGCCGCCCCAAGCACAAGCTTGGTGGGCTGGTGCCTGGAGCCGGCCCTGGGAACACCCTTGCCCCGCCTCTGCTCTGTTCCTTCCCTGAGGCCCCTCTCTGGCTCACTCCATCCCCCCTCCCTCCGTCACTCACTCTCCCCCACCCTTGCTCATTTTCACTGGGCTGGGGCAGGGAGTTGGGGTGGGGGTGAAGGCTACGGCTGGGGTTGCGGGCTCTGGTGTGGGGCTGGGGATGACGGGTTTGGGGTACAGGATCTGGGCTGGCGGTGCGAGCTCCAGGATGGGGCCAGACATGAGAGGTTCAGGGTGCAGGAGGGAGTTCCGGGCTGGGGCAGGGGTGCGGAAGGGGTAAGGGCTCCGGCTGGGGTGTGGGCTTTGGTGTGGAGCCAGAGATGAGGGGTTTGGGGTGCAGGAGGGGGCTCTGGGCTGGGGCCGAGGAGTTCCGAGTGTAGGAGGGGATGTGGGTTCTGGGAAGGAGTTTGGGTGTGTGTGGGGGGGTCAGGGCTGGGTCAGGAGATTTGGGGTGCAGGCTTACCTCAGACAGCTTCTGGAAGCTGTGACATGTCCCTCTGGCTCCTAGGGGAAGGGGTAACCACAGGGGCTCTGTGCGCTGCCCCCACCGGCAAGCATCACCCACACAGCTCCCATTGGCCATGGTTCCTGGCCAATGGGAGCTGCAGAGCCAGCACTCAAGGTTGGGGCAGTGCGTGGAGCCCCCTGGCTGCCCCTGCGCCTAGGAACTGGCCTGGACATGCTGGCTGCTTCCAGGAGTCGTGCGGAGCCAGGGCGGGCAGGGAGTCTGCCTTAACCCATTGTGCTGCCGACCAGATTTTAATGGCCTGGTCAGCGGTGCTGACTGGAACCGCCAGGATCCCTTTTAGACTAAACCAGACACCTGGCAACCCTACTCCCCCAGCTGAGTTCACGGCTCTGTTTAAGTCGTCCCTCTGACCTCTTGTAGCTGGGTCAAACATTATAATTAAGTCTCCCTCACACTCAGCTGGGGGAATAGCTGTCTAGTCACAGGGAATGCCTTACAGGGATGCCTTAAAGGACCATTCAGCCTGTGACATAATGACACTCTATCCTTTTTTTAAACAGATTATTTGAGGTCACCTTTAAGTTCTGGTTGTACCCAGCAGCATCAATGCCTACTGTCTTCCTGCCCGTCACTGCATTGGGTCATCATTGTCATGAAATGGTTCATTGTTTTCTGTTTTTCCTTGTACCCATCGTGAAATAGCCTTGACAACACCATTTGCCTTGAAGCCAAATAAGCAATAATGCAAGACAGGATTTGCAACTATGGTGTTATCTATCGAGTGTGTTAGGAAGTCTGAGGTCAAAGTACTGCTGACTACGTCCAGTGATTGAAGAGTTCCAGTGTGCATTTTTTATACACATGTTCAAATGGCTACTGAAACATTTCCAATCAGTTTCTCTAGTCTTCATGGTGTTCTTTCACATAATTTTAAACAAAAATAGCTTTACTTACACAACCAGTCTGGGTTAGGTTCAAACCAGTCACCTAGATGTTAAAGGTGCTGACTCCTGTTACCAGGTTTCTGTGCGGTTCTGTCCACCAAACTGTTACGTTTAGCCCTATACAAAGAGCAACCATACACAGTTTTCTGGGAGCACAACTTACCCTTGTGCAGAGTGGCTGTACAAAGCATATGCACCACAGACGGCCCACTCAAATGGTGAATATGCCTTGGGTGCGCCCTCTACACTGGAGTGGACTTTTCCCCTCTCCTAACAACCTGCGTTGTCTGTGTAGAGAAGACTCAAACAAGGATGAACCAAAATAAGGTCTCCATGAGCGGGGCATAGGCATACCTCCTCTGTAGCAAGCTGCAGCTGAAGACAAAATGGCAGCTAGATCTGCAACAAGGTTGGGGAGAGGGAACCATTCTTGATTGAAAGGTGCAGTGCACAAAGTAATTCAAAGCAGAAGCAAGCTGCATACACCACCCAACAATTACAATTGGATCAGATATATTGAATATCTATACACATAATAACTGGGGGAAAACTGATAAAATATAAAAAGTTGCTCTTTGTGCTAAGACTTTGCACCCCATGGGTTTTATGTGTGTGTGTGTGTGGTTTTTTTAAGAAGCAGGAACAATACATATGGAAGGTAGTTTTCTATCCAGTGAAATAGCACTGGGTAATGAAATGCATGTTTTCTCATATTAGGCAGCTGGGATCCCCTGAAACTCCACCTGTAACTCGGCTGAAAGTTCACTTATCCACACATCTGCTTTTACTATTCTCAGTGGTTAAAAATGTGGAAATGCAGGAAAGTTTGCGCTGGCAGCAAGCAGTCTGAAACCAACCCCGCAAATCCAATGAATTCTCTGACGCAATGACAAGAGCATGACAATCGGAGAAATGCCTGGGGAAGTGAATCAATAGCTAGGAGGCAAACCAGCTGCAACGTAAGGACAGTAAGTAGCTGGAAGAAACTTTCCCAGCCACCAAGCAAGTTAGCAGAACAATACACAAAACAGGATATGAGGCCCTTCCTGCCAATATCAAGGTCTATGCCAAGGAGCATTTGGGCCTCCAGTTCTGTCTTTCTATCTGTATAATGTGAAGCCATGTTTGTCATTTTCTACCCATTTGCATATTAATAAAATGACAGTCTCATGTACCTTTTATGCTGAGATCTAATATTTGTCTTAAAAGATCTGTATGTCTTAATCCTTCTAACCTATATCCACCCCAATTGCACTGGCAGTAACCCACCTGGTGAGGCTGAGAATATTTTTGTTTCCTCTGTAGGTTCTAATTGTTAAAAGGATGCTGCTGTTTCTTTTCTTTTCTGGAGGTGGATTTTTGTGCCGGTGATTCCTCCCCCCAAACATGAGAGTGATAGTAATGGATTTCCATTCGGTCTGTTTTCTTGTCTCTCTCTAGTACCAACTGGATCTATCTCACTGTCTAGGGTCTGATACTGGCATCCATCACTGTAATATTTGAGTGCCTTCCCAGAATAAAACAATGACAGGAATGTTTATTTTTCTCTCTCCCTTCCCTAATACTAGGAGATAGGTTTGGTTTTCTAATGACTACAAAAGAGTGGAGATACTGTGGAGGAAAAGCTTGGGCAATGAGGTGGGCTTTGCATTTGTTTGTTTTGACTCATATCCATTTAGCTCTTCGGTGGGGCCGGGTTTTTACCCATGGTGCCAGTCTAGTTTCTGTGCTGATCTTTTCAGATCTGTTTGCTGCCTTTAATGTTGTTGACACAGGATAGTATTGGCTGGTGGGCAGGACCAACAGCTGGGGGAAAAGAATAACGCTCTTCCTAGCGGAACTGCGGCAGAGTTTCAGTCCCTTGCCTCAGGGCTTTATTATATAGTTACATAAACAAAGGATTCCAAACAAAAATAAGTCACATAGAACACTGGGGCCCAATTGGCAGACACCCTTCCAGCTTCTGAGCTAGATGAAAGGATGGCAGGGGGGTGGGAAACATACCCTTAACCCTCAGTAGCCACCACCATAGCCCCTTCTCCTGTGCCTTTAAACACCCCACCACACCCAGATCATCCACAGGACAGGCAGAGGTCTGTGATAACCCACTATGCAGTGGGACTTGTGCAGTGCCATTCTACCTTGTCACAGGCAGTCACTCTTGAGTAGCTCTGCTCCTTTCTTTCTCAGAGATCCAGAGAGTGTCCTTTTCCCCTCCCGACTTTACAGGATATAATAGAATCACATATAGTAGCCTATGTGCTGACACAACTTCTTCCCTCCTCAAATTTTTCTGAAATGACTCCCCTTCTGACAGGTATTGTACCTACCCCGCATAGTTCACAGATGTGTAATGAGGAAAATAAAATAACATTAGTGGATAGGGAAGACAGAGAGAGAGAGAGAGAGAGAGAGAGAGAGAGTAACTTATAGACACC